ATCCACAGCCCTCCTCACCCCCTAAGATGCCTCCAGCCTATGCGCCTCACTGGGTGCCCCACCACCATCCCCACACACACCCAGGTTTTTGGCACCATCACAGCAGATCCCCCATTAACCTCCTCCCTATATATATAAAAATAGTGTATATACACTATATATACTCTCAATAAAAGCCGCATTGACAAGACAAACCACTTGCTTTGGTACAGAAAGCTATCTTTCAATACAAACCATAGCATGGTGTAATCACCTGCAGCCCATCACCCCTGCTCCAGCAGTGGAGGGCCGGATCTTTCATGGATATTGCAGTCCAGGTGCACAGCTGTGGTGTCTGGCGCGTGTTTGTGCAGAGCACCCTGAGGCGTGGATGCCCTTTCCAGGGGCCAGTGTCCACCACTGCAGACCGATGTGCTTTCAGGTGGCTGTTTGTCCCTTTGTGACATGGTGGGGTGATGTCAAGGCTCAGCCTGTCCCATCCATGGCAGCGCTTGAATACATAAAGGCTGAGACACCTATTTTTGGCAAAGCACAACCTCCCTCTTGCCCATTTTCCCCTTGGAGCCTGCAAAAGGCTCCTTCCATGCAAAGCCCAGGCAGCTCCTGGGGCTGTCCCATCCCACCTGTGGCCCAGGAGGGACATCCACGCAACTCCGAAGCCAGCTGGGGGCAAAGAGCAGACCTGGCGTGGTGTCACCCTGCCATGGCTGGCTGCACCACTGCTTCTCCCCTCAATGCACCAGGCAAGAGCACCCAAGTCTGGTGTGGGGAGAAGGAGTCCCCCTCCTCTTTACAGGGCTGTACTTGGCGTTTTGTGCCAGCAGGGATTTGTGGCTGTCTCCCATGCTAACAGCACTTGTGCGTGACTCACCGAGGCCACCTTGTCCTGGGGAGGCTTTTCTGAGGTGCCCATCTCCATGGCTTCAAACCAACCTGACCCCTCTTGACCCCTGTTCCTGAGCAGAGAGGGGTTTGATTAGGAAATATGTCCTTCACCATCAATGCAGCCCATTACAGTTGTCTATCAATCTCACAGTCTTCCCGTTCATCTGCTTGCGGAATCCTTGCCTACCTGTCTATCAATCATTTGGACGTCCGTCAGCCTGTCCATCAATCACTGAGCCATCAGCCCCCCCCCGCAGCTGGCACAGGCTGTGCCGCCCCCTCGCCACAACCGTTCATCAAACCATTATTAATCCTGGCCAAGGGCACCCACCGGCACCGGGAACCCCTCGCTTGGCTGATGGCCCTTCTTGTCCCCTTCTCTCGCAGTTGCTCCCAAGGGCCCGAAGATCATGATGACCCCAACAAGAGCCCGCGTCGGAGACACCGTGCGAATCTTGGTGCAGGGCTTCCAGGTCAGCATCCCCGTCCATCCCCATCGCCGTGGGGCGATGCCGTGCCAATGGACAACCTTGCATCCACACCAGCACTTTATGGGGTTGGCTTGGTGGCCTTGGGTTGCATCATGGTCCCTACACTGGTGCACCCCTGGGCATTTTGGCTGTACCCCGTCCTTGCTCCAGGCGTGAGGCAGGGCTTACCCCCTAAACCCATCTCACAGCCCCCCATCTCCCCACAGAATGAAGTCTTCCCCGAGCCCCTCTTCACCTGGACCCGAGTGGGGAGCCGGCTCCTCGACGGCAGCACCGAACATGATGGCAAGGAGCTGGTGCTGGAGCGGGTGCCGGCCGAGCTCAACGGCTCCATGTACCGCTGCACCGCCCAGAACCCCCTGGGGTCCACCGACACCCACACCCGGCTCATCGTTTTCGGTATGGCAGCACCGTGGGGGTCACCCCTCCCTCTACAAATCCTCACTCATTTCCCCTCCCCAATAAAACTGTCTCTCTGCTACTTCTTTCCCATTAGAAAACCCAAATATTCCCAGAGGAACAGAGGACTCCAATGGTGAGTGGTGGTGGGACTGGTATTTTGACCCGAAACCCCCCAGGGAGGGAAGGACTGTGCAGAGACCATCCCTCCTTGCATTGCCCCAAGCCCTTGGCCGTCTCTCCTTGCATGGCCCCAAGCCCTTGAGCATCTCTCCTTGCCTCATCCCAAGCCCTTGCCCTTGGCAGCAGGGATGTCCTTGCACCAAAAGGGGCCCTGTGGATGCTCCCTGCAGCATCCCTGACCTGCTGCCCACCCCACACAAGCTCCATAGAAGTTTAGGAGGGGGATCCCCCCCAAAAAAAGGTGGTGACCCCATCCTGCTTTAAACCCAAGCAGCGAGATGCGGCTCCCTAAACTCCCCATCCCTTTTCTCCTCCTGCCTAGGTTCACTTACCGGCCACTGCGGCTTCAGACTAGTTTTGGCGCTCACCCTAACAGTGATCCTGGAGCTAACGTGAAGCTTCACGTGCCTCTTCTTCCTCCTCCTCCTCCTCTTCCTCCATACGGCTCCACCTGGCATTTACACCTCCGTCAATCGGTTCTCTCACTCTCTTTTTTTTTTTTTTCTATACTATTTACAGTCTCGGTCTCTTTCTGTCTGTGTCTTGGCTTCCTCAGACAATTTAATTAAAAGGAAAAAGAAAAATCTCCCCCGGTAGAAGGCTGTGCTTAATGTTTTGCCTTGTGCTGGGGTATCCAGAACCATTTTGGGGTACCCAGAGGCTTTGCAAGGTCTTGGGGGGGGGTGTGCCTATTATGCAAGGGCCAGATTTCCCCTGGAAAAATCCATTTACAACATTCCCACTGCACCGAGCTGCTCCAGGTCTCAGCTCCCCAGGATAGGGACCGTACGTGTCCCCGGCATGAGGGACGTTGGGGGCGAGTCCTACACACGGACGGCGGCGCTGGGAGCCCGAAAGCCGCAGATCACTGGCCTTATATCCCGGCACCTTGGTTGGGGCAAATCGGCTGTGCTGGAAGACGGGAGCCGTGCACTTGTCCTGGGGGGCTGGATGGTCAATCTCTAATGACAGGCAGTTCCCGACCCAAAATGTCAGCGCTCACACATGAGCAGGCAGCATGCGTCCCGTCGGGCAGTGCCGGCACGGAGGCACCAGCCGAGTTTAAAGCGCTGCGCCCACGTTTGGTCCGTGCCACCCTCCCCATCCCTCTTGGCTAACTGTCGCCGTGGAAACAGATAACGGTGCAGCACGGCCAGATCCTGGCCATTCCTACGGTACCCCGTGCCGCTTGGGTAAGGTGTTAATCCTGCTGCAGGACAGCTCTTTGCAAAACACAGGTGGTTTTGCCCCAATCCTGCGCAGTGCTGGGGGATGCCGGCGGTTTGCCTGGCTGCTTTGCCTCCCCGCGGTGCCCCAAGAGCATCTGGCCTGGGCCAGAATCCCTGGGGAGCGGATGCAGGGGGAGAGGAGCCCGAGGATGGGGTGCTTCCCTGCCTTTTCCTCCGGGAACTCTTAATCCTAGAGGATTAGCCAGCAGCCGTGCAGCGCTTCATCTTTCCAAAGCCGTGTACGAGTGCTAAGCATTATTATTACTATTATGATTAATTATTATTAAGCAGATTCAGTCCCTACCATGCTCCGTTGCCAACTTCGCTCCGAGCGATTTCCCAGCCTCAAAGGAGCTGAACAAATACAGGGCAGCTCAGGAGTTTCTTCCCATACGCAATCATTTGGGCTGGCGGCAATGCAGGGACAGACCGGGGCTGGCTGGGATGTAGGAGGATCAGCGGCTCCGCGTTCATCCCAAAGCAACAGCATCTGAGCACCCGGATCCCTTTGGACCAGCTGCCTGAACCAACACTCCCCCCCCCTCGGCTCTCTCCCCGACCACTTTCACTGCTCCAGCCCATTGTACCTCCCTGGGCGAGATGGGAACCGTAATTTTTTAGGGAAACCTTTATTTTTTAGGGAAATCCATGTCACTCCATTTACCCCCATGCTACTGAGCAGGCAGCAAAACCCCCGACCATGGCGCGGATGCTCCTCGCCCTCCTTGCTGGATTGGAGATGCTCCAGGGTCTCATCCCAACGTGATTAAACAACCATTAGGCCTTCTCACTTCGAAAAATGAGGATTTACAGATGCCCAAACCTCCATTTAAATGCAAATGTGGCGGTTTTAGCCCGGAACCATGGAAATGAGGAACATTAGAGAGGCAGTGCCATCATCAACCAGCTCCACATGGTGCCATCTCAAGAGTGACGTGACCTCCCTGTCCAGCGGTTGGGAGAGGACCGGTGGGCTCAGAGATCCCGCATCTCAAAACCACCCCTCTGTGTGCATTCAGGATGCTTAGCTCTTTCCCATGGTGATGGATCAGGCTATAGGATGGGACCTTCTCAGCACCAGTACAGCCAAAGAGATGACCGAGGGGACACGGGAGTCTCTCCTCGTTTTGGGCAGAGACGCTGCCTGCTTTCCCAAAGTGCCCCCAAGGCGAGGGACGCAGAGAGATGCCACCCCACCAAAGCAATGATCCAAAGAAAACTTCCCATGCCATGCTGGACCCTGCCTTCACCTCCTGCCCCTCCCATCCTTCACCCACCACCTACCAGCCCTGCCTCCCCATCCCCATCCACCTTCCTACAGGTAATTACAAAGGACATCAATTAAATCCCTGGCTCCCCCCTACCACACACACCGTTGTTTGAGGACCTGGCAGTGAATAATGCAGGAGGCTGGAGGGGGAAAGAGCTGCTCAGGCTGTTTCATTATTGATGAGAGATGACAGATCCGCAGCTGACAACCTGCCTAAGAGATATGATTAGCTTGTAAAAAATTAATTGTGCTTCTTAGGGATGACGCGAGCTGAAAACCCCAAGGAGCGGCGTTATCGATGTTCCCTAATTTCAGGGGACTTTGAAAAGGTTTTAGCAAAATTTGGAGGAGGCAATTACGTTCAATTAGAGTCACAAGTGCCGAGACGTCACCGCTGCTCGGAGACGCCATGGCCGCATCCCCTGCTCCCTTACGCTGCCGCTCGTCCTCCTTACCACAAGGCATAGATAAATAACATTTATACGTCGGACCTGCCTTTTTGCCATGGGGATCCTCCTTCCTGACATCATCCCTGGCAGCTCAAGCTCGACAGTCGGGCTCTGGTCCCCCCCCTCCTGCCATTTGTGAAGGCAACAGCACCCAGAGCACGCTGCCTGCCAAAAAACACCCTCGCCTCCCTCTGCGCTCCGTGTTTCGCCCTCCCAAGGTCCATAAAACCCCACCGATGACGAGGATAACGGCGCTTATCCTGGCACGCACCCAGAGTCGGGCTTTTGGCAGCCCAGCCCTGCATCTCTCAAGGATGTGCCACATCCAAGCCCCCCAGCCCTTTGGGATATTAGGATGGGGGGCACAAAACCAGGGATGCTCCGGCTTGACGGGGCTGGGAATGCCGGCAGGAGTGATGGTGGGCTTTGCTCGGTGCTTCCCCAGCCTTCCCCACCTCATTACCGGGCACAGTTACTGCCGTGGCCGGGTTCACAGGGCCACCAAGCGCATGCATAATTCATACTTCCCAGCTCACAAATGCAAGGATCTTTGCAGATCTACCTGCAGCTTAAAAACTGCGGCAGTGAGAGATGAAGAAACCCGGGGTCATGGCCACGCATGGGTGGCCAGACCCTTTGCCAATTAGCCAAGCCCTGAAACACGTGCCCAGTCTCGATGCACATCCCCATTACCCCAACTCCAGCCTCGGCTTCGGGACCCTCTGCATTTGCAGGCAGGAGGGATACGCCTTCCCTGAGTTTTTGGCCGGACCAAGCTCCCCAACGATGGATTTTGGGTCCCCATGCCAAATAGGATGGAGGGCAGCGGCTGGGTGGGTTTTGGCTGGTGTTGTTTTGGCCCCTGGCCCAAGCTCAAGATGCAACCAAGCAGGATGCATCAGTCCAGTTCTTAATCTAAATATCCTCATTCCCCCAGGCTCTTTGCTGCATTTCCTCACGCTGCACCCATACAAGGTGACAACGTCCCAAACATCCCCCTAAAAGCCGCTGGCGGGCTCTCCCCATTCACAGCAGGGATGTGCACAGGGGTCCCCGACTGCCAAGCCAGCATGGGGAGTTTGCCCCTCTGCTTCCTTTCCATCCTCTTTCTATATATACATATAAATATTATGCGATTTAGCACGCGGTCCTCCACCTAACGGGCATCCACGGCAAGTCTAGCGACAGATATACAACCACCCCCCTGCCCTTCAGCACCACCGTGGTCCCCGTGTGAAGCCATCAGGCGAAAAGCAGCATCTCAGCATTGGCAGGGAGGGCATCTCGGTGCTTGCAGATGCTGGTAATGGTGAGGAATGTGCCCCAAGGAGGTTCCTCCCCATGACAAAAGGCAGTGCCCGAGGTTGTGCAACGTCTGGTGAAGATCAGCTGCGGCACAGGAGGTGGTTTGGGAGGCTGGGACGCCGTGCGTGAGTTCACGAGCACCCACCACCCATTAAAGACCCATGGCGAGACCTCATCCCACCGCATGGACCCATGACCCATGCAGTTGGGACCCACCACACCCACACTTCGTACAAGGAGTTGTTTTAGCATCACCTGGGTTCATTTCTCTGGCAAATCCCAGTGGATCAGGACCAAGTTAGTGGGGAGCGAATCCCTGCATATAAACAGAAGCAGCCACCCACCCCCACCCACATTTTGGCTGTTTCTTTGCTGCCTCATAGGGCCTCATTTCTTTATGCATCTCTCAGCATGCAAGACTTTCCCCTTGGGAAAAAGGAAATTAATTTTATCCCTTTGAATTCAGCCCGCTTAGCGGGGGCTGCGGAGGGATGCCATTCCCCAGGCCCCCTCCTCTCCCCCCACCACGGTCCAGACAGGGGGACCTGGCTGCCTCGGGGACGACGGGGAATGACAATTCCCCTAAACCTTTGAAATTCAGATCAGAACCAGACACATCATCAGCATATTTCCAGGGGGAGAAGGAAGCAAGCATGACACTGTCTGGCATCCTCTGTGCCTCAGTTTCCCCACAGCGACTCCAGTCCCCGCAGACATCCCACACGCAGCAGCACATCACTTTGAAATGACGACTCGCATCTCTCCCATCCCTTCCCATCCCAAATTTCTTCCTGGTCCCAATGCTTTCGTTCACTTTCCTTAGTTCATCCCTCTCCCCGTTCACATGGATGCAGGTCTCTGAACGCCACGGCCACCAGCTGCAGTTTCACTCCTGCCTTTATTTGCTCTTTGGTGCCAGATTTTTCCCCCTCCTAAAGCCTCCAGCGCTTCTGCCGCCAGCTTTTAATTCCGCTGCCATTTCCAGGCTGGCCTCAAAGAGACCCCAGCAGATTTCGGGCTATTTCCCGTCACCCTTCGTTAGCCAGCATGCCACAAACGAAGGCTACCGAATTAGTCACCCGCCTCTGCTGCGGAGCAGCTGCTCAGTGTCGGACCAAAGGTCTGCCCGGCATTGGGCTGCTT